GGGAGGGGGGCACTGATCGCAGTGAATGGCACATAACCACACACACCTCAGACAGGAGGAAGAACAACAGAAACCAGAGGGGAAGAGAGACAGTGGTCAGTGTGAGATTTGAAAATAATCAACAATCTACACTCTATCAGGGGGAGGAGGGAGGGAACAAAAGAGAGCTGATCCCAAGGGCTCAATGGAAAGCAAATGTAGAAAAGAATGATGGAATACATGTACAAATATGTCGGATACAATTGATGGATGGTTTGTAACAAGAGTTGTCAGAGCCCCCAATCAAATGATTTGAAAAACACAAACAAACCAGAAGATAAGAAATGCTGGTGAGAAGATAGGACATTAGCACCTTGATCTATGACTGGCGTTACTGTTGCTGGTGGGGACTGTCAAGTCCGTTCCAGCCCACAGAGATTCCCAGAGGGAAACACCTCCTTGTCCTGCACCATCCTCATCACTTTTCTTAGGTTTGAGCCCTTCCATGCAGCCACTGTGTCAATCCACCTTGACCAAGGTCTTCCTCTCTTTCGTTGCCCCAGGACTTTACCAAGCATGATGTCCTTCTCAAGGGACTGGCCTCTCCTCACAATAGGTCCAAAGTACATGAGACTAAGTCCCATTCTCCTTGCCTCTAAGACACATTCTGGCTGTACTTCTTCCAAGAAAGATCTGTTTGTTGTTTCAGCAGTCCACGGTACTTTGCATATTCTTTGCCAGCACCATGATTTAAATGCACCGATTCTTCTTCGGTCTTCCTGATTCCTTGTCCAACTTCCACACAGGCATGCTTGAAAATACCGTGGCATGGGTCAGGCGTACCTTAAGTAATCCTCAAAGGAATCCCCTTGCTTTTCGACACTTGAAAACAGTTTGTGCAGCAGATGTACCCCGTGTCATGCATCCTGTGACCTCTTGATGGCTGCATCCACGAGCCTGGCTTATGGATTTAAGCAAGATGAAATCCTTGACAAGTTCAATCTTTTCTCCATTTACCAGGTTACCTACTCCATGCTGAAGGCCGCAGTCCCGGGTCTATTAGTGGTAGAGATGCAAAATGGGACGGCTGTTGTGGAAAGCATGAGGTGGTCCCTCTAAATATTAAAGATATATGACCCACCACTTCCCCTCCTGGGTATCGACCTGAAACTGAGACCCAACAAGGGATTTACACTACAATGTTCACTGCAGCAGTGTTCACAGTAGCCCAAAGACAAGAATCAAGTGAGTGGGTCAACAAAATGTGGCACACACAACACGCGGGGGCTAGTTCTCTGCCGACAGGAGCAAAGAAGTCTTGGCACACGCTACAACATAGATGGAGTTGGAAGACATTCTGCTAACCGAAATAAGCGAATCACAAAAATACCACATGACCTCACTTATATAAAAAGACCAAGAAAAAGCCAGGGTATAGAATCCCAAAGTTATGAGGGTAAGGTGACCAGATTTTAACATTGGTGAAGTGGGGCACCATTGATAAAACTCATATCCTGGCGAAACAGCCACATGGCAGCCGAAAACCGTAAATCGGGAATTCTTAAAAACGCTGCGGGATGTGGAAAAAATTGTTCAAAATCGGGACTGTCCCGCCAAAAGCAGGACGTCTGGTCACCTTATATTAGGGGCTACCAGAAGCAGAAGTGAGGGAGAAGAGGGGGATTAAGAGTGACGGAAAAATCACCTTCGTCAAGGGCAGGGTTGTACCACTGATGATTGTAATTGCTTAATCAGTTCTACACCTGCAAAAAAGCAGAATTGGCAAAAGCTGTGTGATATAGTTACAACAACAGCAACAACAAAATAGATGCTGAGGCTGTCGATGTACATCATGAGATTTGCTTCCTTGGTCATAGTTTATGGTGACCAGACGTCCCGCTTTTTGCGGGACAGTCCCAATTTTTGTCGTTTTAAAAAAGTCCCAATTTTTGGAAAGAATGCACGACAAGCTAGGGAACGGTCTATTTGGTCCATATAGACCAAATTTTTAATCAAGAACTCCCCCCGGCCCCCCAGTCAATGGTGTCCTGCTTTAAATCTGGTCACCCTATCATAGTTTCATGGGACAGTCCAGTTAGCGGACCTTGTATCCGTAGTGCGCCTATTCTACTTCTCAGTTCGTGCATAGCACCTGGAATCCGATTCAGGCCATCCAATGGCTGTCCAAGGCACAAGAGTTGGTCTCTATTCTCCTGGAGCAACAGAGGAAGGAGAATTGGGAATCATAGCAAGAGATGGCAGGTATGGCTGTCTCCACCAACAACTTCATCTGGAGACCAGAAGAACTGGGCAGTACCCAGCTGCCATTACTGAGCATTTTGATCAATGGCTCCATAGAAGCATCCTGATGGACATGGAAAACATGCAGAACAGAATTTAAATTTCTCCAGACTCTAGACTTCCAGGAGCCACGGAGAGTGGAGGAACTCCTGAAATGATTGCCCTGAGAGGTCTTCAAACTTTAAACCAAAAATGCCCCCTGAAGCTATCCTAAAACCAAATGGTCGGGTATGGAAAATTGTGGAGAAGAGAGGGGGAGCTAATAACAAGAAAGAAGATACTGTTTTAAAATTGATTGTGGTAATGATTGTGCAGCTCGTCTTGATATGATTGGATTGGATGAGATGTGAATGATGTGCCAATAAACTGTTTGTAAAAAAAAAAGCAGTAGATTAGCTTAATTAGTTAAAAAAAAAGAGGCTGCCTTGGGCATTATGCTCTTTTAAAGCGAGCTCTATGGGCTCAAACTGGCAGCAGCAACTGGAAAGACCGCGTAAGAGCCCTAGGGAACAGTGAGTTCATGTTAATGGTGGAACAGCTTGGAAAGAATGGTTACACAACTCAAAGATTGTGATCACTGGTCACTAACGTGTACATGTAGAAGCTATTGAATTGGTGTGCATCTGACTGTGCATATTCTCAGCAGCAACAATAAAAGAAAAAACATTCAGGGGGAGATAAGATAGAAAGATACTGCCAGTGTTGGCAAGAATGTGGAGGAACAGAAACCTCATGCCCTGCTGGTGGGATTGTCACTTTGAAGCACAGTTTGCCAGTTCCTTTAAAATGTACATATAAGCTTATCCTATGACTCAGTAATTTAATTCCTTGAACTCCACCCAAAACAAATGAAAACATGTAAATAGTATGTTTACACAAAAACCTGTATAGAAACGTCCTTAGTAGCATTATTCATAATAGCTCCAAGCTAGAACAGTCTTCAGCTCCATCAACAAATGCATGGATACACGAAATATGGTCTACTTAGACAATGGCATATTATTCAGCAATAAAAAGGAATACACTTAAGAAAAATCCAAGATTGGAGGAGGGAACTGTATTAGAGCTTCAATTCTGAGCCCCTGATTTTCAGAGGACTATGGAAGATAATGAAAACCCTCAAATCCACTTTACAGAGTTCCCAAGTGGATTAAGCCTCCGGAGAAACCCCTGTGACCATTGACCAGGGATGTAAATAGCCTTCTATCAGACAGCGTGCTCTGGAAAGTGGATTCATGCAGATGTCAAAATGAGACCAAACTCACTAGCATCGAGTCAATGCTCACTCTTAGCAACCTCCTGCAGGTTTCTGAGACTTTAATTGCTTACAGGAGAAGAAAGTCCAGTCTTTATCCCTAGAAGCTGCTGGTGGTTTCGAACTGCCAACCATGTGGATTGCAGCCCAATGCATAATCACTACACCACTAGGGCACTCGTGCAGATGTAGTTAGGTTAAAATTTAGCACCTAATTTTTCTTCCCTTTTTGACCCATTTAAAATGTGTTCTAGTTTTTATTATTTTCAGCATTCTTTTGGATTAGGTTTTTGTTTTATTTTGTTATTAATGTTGGTTGTGTGTGTGTGTTTCTTTATATGAAATCCGGGATAGGGAAATCTACAGAAACAGTAATTGGATTAATAGTTTCTTGGGGTGATGGCAGGGGAAGAGGAGGGATTAGGGAGCTAATAATAATGAGTACAAGAACAAAGAAAATGTCCTAAATACACAATTTGTTTCAATATATTTAGACCACTGAATTGCATAATATATGAATTATATGTCAGTAAAAGTTTAAAAAAGGGAATGAACCGTAAAAGCATTATGCCAGCCTATGCAATCATGAGGTGTCGAAGGGATCAGGTATAAGGCATCATCAGAACAAAAAATCTTACCATAGTGAATGATGGGGGGAGTGCGGAGTGGAGATCCAAAGCCCATTAGTAGGCCACTGGAGACCCCCCTTGCAGAGGGGTCTCGGGGAGGAGATGAGCCAGCCAGGTGTGATGTAGCAACAATGAAAAATACAACTTTCCTCTAGTTCCTAAATGTTTCCTCCCCGCTCCCACTACCATGACTCGAATTCGACCTTGCAAGTCTGGCCAGACCAGAGGATGTACACTGGTACAGATAGGAACTAAAAAGTACAGGGAATCCAGGGCGGATGAGCCCTACAGGACCAGTGGTGTGAGTGGCGAAACAGGGAGGGTAGAGGGAGAGTGGGTAGGAAAGAGGGAACTGATTACAGTACAAGGAACTATATGTGACCTCCTCCCTGGGGGATGGACAACAGAAAAGTGGGTGAAGGGAGACGTCGGACAGGGCAAGATATGACAAAAATAACAATTTATAAATTATCAAGGGCTCATGAGGGAGGGGAGAGTGGGGAGGGAGGGGAAAAATGAGGACCTGATGCCGGGGGCTTAAGTGGAGAGGAAATGTTTTGAGAATGATGAGGGCAATGAATGTACAAATGCGCTTTACACAATTGATGTGTGTGTGGATTGTGATAAGAGTTATATGAGCCCCTAATAAAATGATTTTTTTTAAAAAGCATTATGCTAAGCGTAAGAAGCCAGGTGCAAAAGACTACTCATTGTACAATGCTATTTGTATTTTATATTTGTATGGAATCATTTGTCTGGAATACAGACCAGGGGTTGCCTAGAACTCGGGGAGAACCTGGAATGAGTACATCCTCGTTCAAGAGCACTTCTTAGGGGGCTGGAAACGTTCTACACTTGGTGTGGGGTGATGGTGGCCCAACTCTGCATTTACTGGAAAAGGTTCAACTGCACATTCACAGCGGGTTTCGTCTGGCTGTGAATGGGACCTCTATTAGCTGTTAGGAAAGAAGAGGCCCGAGGCAACGCTCAGGGCATCCCCAAACCACCGCGACGGGCATTCCGCCCAGGCCTTGGCTGCCCCACTAACCTTGTAGTCCCCCGGTGGGCTGCAGCAGCTCCTGGGGACCAGGCAGTGAGTGACTGGAATGCTGGGATCCTTGGTCGTGATGGACAGACCCTTCCGCAGGATCTGCACCAGCCGGGTCCAGAAGTGGAACACGGTCTCCGGGTGGTCAGGGTGGAGCTTCAGGTAGTAGATCTTCTCGGAGACGGTCCTCAACCGCAGGATGCGCTGCAGGTGGTCACAGACCTGGAGCTCCACGAACTTCAGGGGGAGGATCCTGAAGGTGCCACGGAAGCAAGACACCCACCGATGATGCTGCTGCTCCTCAGAAGCCCCCCATTGTCGTACAAACCAGGGGCGTCCTCTTCAAGACAGAGGCTTTGGGTGGGTGGGGGGAGTTAGGGAGAGAGGGCTTAGCTCCGTGGGGATCCCATTTGGGGGAGAGTCGATTCCCCTGCGGAGCACTTGACTCCCAACCCCAAAGATTCAGACTCGGTAAGTCTGAGTGGGGCCCTGGAATCTGGATGTTTCATTCTCATGCACTAGATCGGGAGTCTTAGGATGGTGTCCCCTGGTCCCGGCTTAGAGACACACAGCTGGGACGAGGGGCTTGGGGGTCCTAGGGGTTAAGCACAGAGGAAGCTGTTCTTCTCCTCCAAGGTTGGCCCCACTGTCCAGCTTGTCCATTCGTTGACCTTAATGGCTCAACTATTCTTCCCCAAGGGGCTAAAGCCAAGGACTGGCTTTAGAGCTACTATTAGTCAACTGGGGCTGGGCTGGCCTTGCTAAAGGTAAACCTAGACGGTAGGGAGAAAGGTTTGTCCCTGTACAAGGCTTTCCTGGATTTTAGAGATGTCCTCTGATTCTTTTTTTCCCCTATCTTCTAATAATATTTTTTCATTGAAAATTAGGTAGAAATTTCAGATTATCAACTTGGAAACTATGAATCAACCCCCCACATTAGTTTACCGGTCACCAGAACCTAGATTTCTCTTCTCCTGCTTGTGGGACTACTAACTTCGAATTTATCCATCAACAATCTATCCCAGGGGTGGGGGACATCCGGCCTCCGGGCCATATAAGACCCGCAAAATCATCGCTCCCAGCGAACACCACACGCCTCAGCAGTTCCCACCGTCACATCAGCGCTGGTGAGTCCATGACATGTTTGACCAGGATGGTCGAATAAACAGACAAATGACCTTGGCTGAAAAAAGTTCCCCCACCCTGGACGTCTAGTCCATGGTTTTATCTTCCCTCCCAGGTCCCCCCATCCCCGCTCTCTCTTGTGCTCCTTGAGCCATGCTGCAGATTACTTGAAGAGGCTCAGGCACCCCAAAGACACGTTTTGTGATGTGTGAAGTCCCTGCCCAGTGACGTCACCATTCCAAGAGCCATTCAGTCCCATTCATCTTAGAGAAGGAAAGCAGAGGGCCGTCAAGTGACTGACTCCTTTCAAAATTACTGCCATCTATCGAGTTAGTGGCAGGCCCAGAACAAGAACCCGGGTCTCCCAACCAGGGCTCTGCCTGCTGGACCTCGCTACCTCCTGGGGCCCTGGCCAAAGGCGGACAGACAGACTTCCAGTGCCTTCACTGGTCGAATGCAGCAGGGGGGAAAGTGGGCCCGCAGGCAGGATCATTTCCGTTCTGTCCACTCAACGCCATCCTGGCCCCTCAGCTACCCTGTGTCCAGGGCACGGCTGTTGGCTCCTCTGCTTTCTCCACCCCCCCTTGGGTTGTCATAACACGGCCCCCCACCCCCCCACCCCCAACCCCTTTCGCCTCTGAGTTGTTTACCTCTTCAGGATGATAGTTGGGGCTGTTGATGGTTGGTTCCACGTCTGGCTCTGTCCCTGGTGCCACTTGACACTGGCCATGAGGAGGATGTTGGGGAGGGGCAGGCAGGGTACAGAGGAGGTCACCCCCAGGGCCGTGGTGTTGGAGGCCTTGTAGACGTCTATCCAGTTTTTGCCCCTCCTGACCTGCAAAGCAGCCCCGCCCCCCCGCATGGTCTGAACCGGGGCAGCTCGGGGTCTAGCCCAGGGTCCCCTACCCTCAGCTCAAAGGATGTTGGGGGTCGGGCACTTTCCCATTGCAGGGGCACGGGGGGCGGGGTGGGGGTGGTGGTGGTGGTGGAGGCCTGTACCGCATCCTGTAGCAGGGTTAGCAGCATCCTGACCCCTGCCTTCCTTCCCCAAATTTTAACACTCCCAAATCTCTCTAAACTAGCAGTTCTCAGCCTGTGGGTCACAACCCCTTTGGGGGTCAAACGACCCTTTCACAGGGGTCGCCCAATTCATCACAGTAGCAAAATGATAGTGATGAAGTAGCAATGAAAAGAATGTTATGGTTGGGGGTCACCACAACATGAGGAACTGTATGAAAGGGTCGTGGCATTAGGATGGTTGAAAACCACTGTGCTAAACCAAACCAAACAAATGGAAAAGTCAAAGCCACTGCTCCGTCAAGCAGATTCTAACCTGAGGGGACCTCCCCACCTGTTCTGGGCTTTGCTCAGTTGTGATCTTTGCAGAAGCAGATTCCCAGGCCTTTCTTTGGCCTCGCTGACCTCTGGGCTAATCACCAAACACAAAAAAACCTCTGTGCAGGCAGAGATCTTGCCAAATGCCTCCCGGAGAGCAGGAAGGCAGATTCACCACCCGGTGAGAAAATGCGCCCCCCCACCCCCAGCCCCGCCCCTTAGCTTTATCCTTGTGTTCCTCTTCTGAAGGGCTCTGTCTTGGTCCACACCCTCACGGGACCCTGAGGTCCTTTTCTTCTCCCAAGGGCTCTCTGAAGGTCAGGGAGGCAAAGCCCTGCACGGACAGCCTGGGACTGACATTCGACGGAACTCATTCCATGGCGCTTTGCGGTTGCTGCCTGTTGGCCACTGCGACAGGAAGGTGTGGGACCACCCTGAGTCCCACAAGGCTATCAGTGCCATGTTTCCAGCTGCGCCTCTTGGGGTCACATTTGACCCTTGTCACAATCCGTCAAACGTTTCCTCTCCTGTGTTGCACACGTGATCGACTGCAGTCTGATGTAGGTGTGCCTTCTATCTGCCCTAGGACACGGAACTATGGGTGACTTGTTTTATTGTGACCTTTGTTTCATTTCCCTGGCTTCGACCTGAACTCTAAATCCTTCCCGGGTCTGTTCGTACTCAAGACTTGTATTTGCATCTGATTCAAGGGACAAGTCAGCCCCTTTTAGAGGCTGTGGCTGGCACAAGATCTCTCTTCGGTGTTCAAAAGCAGGGGAGTTTCTTTGAGGATTGAGGTGCGCCTGACCCATGCCCTGGTATTTCTGAGCGCCTTTCAAATGCAGGTGTGAAAGTTGGACATGGAATCGGGAAGACCAAAGAAGAATCGATGCATTTGAATCAAGGCGCTGCCAAAGAATATTCAAAGTACCATGGACTGCTGAACGAGCAAACAGCTTTCTCGGAAGAAGGACAGCGAGAATGTTCCCTACAGGGAAGGAGGCGGGACTTAGTCTCATGTCCTTTGGACATAGGATCAGGAGAGGCCAGTCTTTGGAGAAGGACATCACGTTTAGTAAGTTAGAGGGACAGCAAAAGAGAAGAAGGGCCCCCAGGAGATGACTTGACATAATGGGTACAACAATGGGTGCAAGCACAGGAAGCGTTGTGAGGATGGTGCTGGACCGGACAGTGTTCCGTTCTGTCGTGCACAGGGTTAGAACCAACTCGGTGGCACCCAATGCCTCCCGACCAGAGGCAACGGGCTGGAAGGGGAGCCCTGGGCTCTGGGTCCCAGCTCATGTTCCCTCGCCAATGGCAGCGTTTTGGCTTCTAACCTTGTGAGGGGATCTCATTTCACCTCCTCTTTGTTCACCGACTTGGGCTGGCAGCCTGAGCCATGCGTAAATTGGGGGATCCCAGCATCCTATCCAAGAGCCCTGGCTTACGTAGTGATTACATGTTGGGCTCTGAAGCTCAAGGTCAGCAGTTTGAAACCACCAACTGCTCTGAATGGGAAAGATGAGGCTCTCTATTCCGCTAGCGAGTTACAGCCTCAGAAGCCCACAGGGGCAGTTCTACCCTGTCCTATTCAGTCACTATGAGTCGGAATCAATAGCCGTGAGTGAGTACCTAAGCCCTCTGAGCTGAGCGTGCCTGACCTCTCACTATAAAACGGTCATTGTTATAAAGAGTTGCTGAGTTAATTCTGACTCACGGCGACCCCATGTGTGCAAAGAAGAACTCCACAGGGTTAAGGCTGTGACCTTTCCAAAGGAGGTCACCAGACCTGTGTTCCAAGGCCCCCCTCAAAGGGTTTGAACTAACTATTCTTCAGCTAATCGTTGAGCCCCTGACCAGACGTGCTATGCAGGGATGCCATCTGACCTCTGTCCACACGAAAACTGTCTGCAGACCCCTAGCTAGGGCCCTGTGAAACTAGATACAGAGGCCGTGGCCTTGTGTGCTGGTCCGGCCAGCTTCTCTGGGCCTCAGCCCTCTCTCAGGCTCGCCCGGGGACAGTTTGATGCAGCCCGACCATACCTGGACAAAATTGCTCTCAAACACCACTGAGTCCGGAAAGAGGTTGAATTCCGGAGAGTGCACCATCTGGCAAAGCAGACCCTCCTCCACACCAAAGTCCACCCCAGGGTTCGGCTCCTCGTCGCCAGGCCAGCACTCGTCCCAGGCGCTCAGGGGAGGGAAGGCTGGATGGGGTCTTGTGATGTTCACTGTCTTCGTCCATTTCCACCAGGACTTTCTTGGGGGCGCGGATGACATTTCTACACATGCTCAGCGGCCTGGTGCGCGTGTGTCCTGGGATCCCTCTCTTCCTCCTGGCCCTGGGCTGCTGGCCTGGCCTGAGCCTGCCTTGCAGCTCACAATGATGCATGGGTGACATCATGAGAAGCCAGGCCGGCCTACAGCAAAGGGAAGGAGGGTGGGGGGGGAGGGGGCACCCCCGCCCTTCCCTGGAGGCTCTTGGGAGTGCTGACGCCCTGAAACTCTGCAGTCCTTCTCTCTCTGGAGGGGAAGAGACAGCACTTCCAGAAAGTGCTGAGAAGGCTGGGAGCCAGAGAGGCTCCTTCCACTGCCAAGAGGAAGGTGCCCTGAGGGCCTTCAACCCTCAACTTCCTCTTCAACCGGCCCTAGAAGTTTTGTTTTGTTTTAACTTTTTAAGATCATCATCCTACAGTTGGTGGTGAGGAGCAGTGTGGCCAGAACCCCTGTTCCCTGTTTCCCCCTTGGTACTATCTCGCACAATTCCAGATTCACATCACAACCAGGATTTAGACAAGGAGGCCACCCACTGATCTTCATCACACAAAAGCTCCCTGGTACCGGGTGGGTGTAATGGGTCCCACCTTGGGCTGCGTGCGAACCACAAGCTCGGCAGTTCGAAACGACTAGCCACTCCACGAGAGAAAGATGAGGCTGTCTGCTCCTGAAAGATTTACAGCCTCAGAAAACACAGTGGTCGCGCTTCCCTTGTCCCGTGGGGTCACTGTGAGCCAGAATCAACTGCACAGTAGGGAGAGATGGGTGTCCTTGGGCTGCAGACAAAATACCACAACTGCGGGGTGCGGGGGTGGCTCAGAAGAGATTTCTTGTCTCACAGTTCTGGAGGTGGAGGGTCCAGATCAGCGTTGGCAGTGCGGAAGGCTCGTGAGGGACCCCAAGGGGAGTCAGCCCCAGGCCGCTGTCCCAGCTGACCTCTTCCGTGGTGGCAGGGGATCCTTGCTGTTCCTTGGCTCGTAAATCACTCCAGCCCCTGCCTCCGCCTTTCCCTGTACTTTTCTGTCTTTCTCCTCTTTTATAAGGAGACCTCTCAGACTGGAGTAGGACCCACCCTCCTCCATTATGACTTCATGCTTGCTGGTAGCATCTTCAAAGACCCTCTTTCCAAACAAACAAGGCTATGGGCCCAAAGATAAGTTGGAGTGGGGGTGGGGGTGGCTAGTGACCTCCTATCTGTTAGAGGGTCCCCCTTCCAATCCATGAGATGACCAGCGGGCACTGCTGTGGGGGACCACTGAGGCCCGGTCCTCTCTCCCTTTGACCCTCATTGGCTATCTTCACCATCATATCATAATCAACCGCATGTGATGTGCCACTGTATTCCAGCATCTGCGTACCATTCCCACGAGAGCAAAAGTCCCACGAGGTTAGCGATGGTCATCTTTCTGGTTCCCTGTCATATTCCCGGGCCTGGAACACTGCCTGGTGTGTCCAAATGAGGGATGCATGGCCACGGAGCCCTGCGGCATTTCTGAACCTCGTTGTTTCTCATTGTGGTCAATGTGTGGTGCGTGTGAAACATTTTTTTCACCGGCACCAATCGGTGCCGCTCATTACATTCACCACCTGGTCCAACCGTGACCACTATCCATTTGCGGTTTTCTCCAGGAGTCTTATCAGAAGCTGAGCTATATTTAAAAATATTCTGCCACCTGGGCTCATGGGTAGCCACCTGCTGAGAATGCTGTGGTTGGAAGTGGGCCGAGTTTCCAGCACCTGGTGCACAGCAGCCCTCCCACTCCCACCCACGGAAGAGTTTGGAGACCTGCCTGGCCATATGTCTGTCTAAACAGGGCTGCAAACAGTGGACCCCTTTGGCTGCCCACCAAAAGGATGGCGGTTTCAAGTTCACCCCGGGGCACCTTGGGAGAAAGGCCGGGCAACCTTCTGAAACACTGGCCACTGGGAACCCTCTGGAGCATGGTCCGAGGACGTCTGCTAGACAGACAGCCTTGGTGAAGTTGTGTGCCCCTGGCTGTGTGCCGACCCCTTTTCTGGCTGTGACTGGAGTTGCAGGCTGAGGTGCTTGGCTGCTACAGCAGGGCTCCTGTCCCTGAGGAGGTCAGAGGTCACACAGAAATGATTTGTTTCTTGCCCAGAGGCTGGTGCTGGGAGGGGACCAGCTGGGAGCCATCTGGTCAGATCTCTGTCTCCCTCTAGCTCAGCCTTTCCCTTCTGCCCTGGGCGGGGGAGCAGGGTGAACCCCTGCTTGGCTAGATCAGGGCAAAGCACCAAGGGATCTCTGACCTCTATTCCCATCCGTTTCCCTGAGAAATGTATTCTCATTTGGGCCAAACCCTCCGAGCTTATTAAATTTAATAACCCCTGAGGTCAAATGAGATAGATGGAGGAGAACAACTTTTGACAAGCAACGCGGCAAAGACCCCGGAAGGAAGGTTGATTTTCCTTATCATGATAACATCTGGGGGCGGGCTAAAAGGTCGGAGTCTCCCCACTTTGATTCCATCAGTCCGACTGACAGGCCACTCCTGCTGTTCCCCTGTTCCCAGGCCCTGCCAGTTACTGATTGAACCCAAACCATACTGCCACCCAGTCCAGGCTGACTCACAGACCCTGTAGGACAGGGTAGAACTGCCCCCGGTGAGCTTCTGAGCCTGTCATTCTTGACAGGAGTAGAAAGACCCATCTTTCTCCCTCGGGGGGGCGGCTGGTGGCTTCAAACAGCTGACCTTGTGGTTCACAGCACAGCGTGCAACCATGACACCACCAGGGTGACGAAAGCAACTCCCAAGCTCAGGGGCCTGGTTCTCTTCTGCGGACCTGTAGGGAAAATATCCTAGATGGTACATGCTTGTAGGATGGCGCCACAGGCGAAGACCTGCGGTGTGCACCCTCGCCCCCCACCCCACCAGGGGAAATAGATCAGAAGGGATTTGGCAGCTCCCCGGGGTTGGGAGACTCGCCGGTGACTGAGAGTGTGCGTGGGATGCCTTCCCTGGGTGACGCGAACGCTGCCAGGTGATGGTGGCCGTGGTTACACACTCCCGGAATTTATTCAGAAGCCACATCTCTAAAGCTCGCTGCAAACCCAGAATCCGGCGGGTTGCTTGATGTGCCTAGACACCCGGCGGCGGGACAGACCCGCAGCCATAGAGTTCGTTCCAACTCTGAGCCGCCCCGAGGGCAGAGGAGGACTGCCCCATCGAGTTGCTCAGGCCGTACATCTTTACAGACGCCGACTGCCATGCGTCTTTCTCCCCAGCTGGAGCTGGCTGCTGGTCTTTGGGTTAGCATCCTAGCGCCTTCCCGCAGTCCCCTGCCATTGGAAAGCTGGCTTCGTTAGTTTTCTATTTGGCCTGTGGGGCCCGTGGCGGGGGCTGCTCCTCATCCCTCTGTGCGAGAAGCGTCAGCACCCAATCTAGGAAGGTGACTGTGAAGAGCCGAGATTGCCGTTTTAACCAGGCGGCCAGCCATGGGAGGACGCTTGCTGTTCAGTCAATTCCTACTCAAGGCGCCAGAGTAGAACTATACCCCATGGTCTTTCAAATGGCTCATCTGTTTGCACACAGGTCACCAGACCTTTCTTCCAAGGTACCTCTGGGCAGACTCAACCCGCCAACCTCTTGGTGAGCCGTCGAGCATGCGGACTGCTTGTTTCGCTCCGGGCAATCTACAAACAGGGTGTTCGGGCTCCCCTTCCATTTCTTCCCGACCCACCACCTCAAAACGCTAACACACAGCATCTTTTTAAAAGCCATATGCCAGACACATCCACGTTGCCCATCTTCTTTAGTTATAGATTGCTTGGAGTCTAACTGGGAGCAAAGTCTCCTGGGACATCCTACTATGTGCAATCATGGCTCCCAGCTGGTCAGGCCATGCGGCTAAGTCCTGGCAACGAGATGCGAGCTGAAGTGTTGGGTGCAAGCTCTCTGAGGAACCCTTAAAGGGGGTGGGGGTGGGCATGCTCTTTTTCACGCCTCTGGCTGGAATACAGACTTGATGGCTGGAGCAACCTTCCTGGGCCGCGGAGCAACAAGCTGTGACAGGGAGCACGATGGACGGCCGTCAGCCCCTTAATGATCCTCAAAGAACCACGTTGTTGTCCCACGGATGAATGGGTCACACAGACATCTGTGCCCACAACCCTGAGACCAGAAGAACTAGATGGTGCCCAGCTACCACCCCCAACTGCTCTGAAAAGGATCACGTTAGAAGGATCATGTCAGAACAGCAGTTCTCAACCTGGGGGTCGCGACCCCTTTGGGGATCAAGTGACCCTTTCACAAGGGTCACCTAAGACCATCGGAAAACACATATTTCTGATGATCTTAGGAACGAGGCACCGCTCCTCTATCCGTCTCCAGGTGGGTCTGCCCACATGCAGATACACCCACGTACGAGTACCTGGCATGAAGACTGTTACCCATGCTACACCACAGAAGGGTAAAGAGGCAAAGTGATACTGAAAATGTGGCAGGTGAGACATTTGTGAAGCCCCAAACACACCGAGTCCCTGGTGACAAGCAAGCAAACAGAATTATAATTTAAAAATCATTAAAAACATTAAAGAAAAAAGAAAGGCCTTTCCTGGAACAACACTAAAAATGCAACTGGGCAAATGAATAGGATTTACTATCTCCGAGTGACAGGAAGTCCAGTCAGGAAGCCGCTAAGACCAGAAGAGCGCTTGTGGAGTCCCATACCTGAGAGATGACAGGAGCACCTTACCATCGAGCCAGGGGGAATAACACGCATCCGGTTTCAGAGCCTTTTGAGCCAGTTCAGATGAGCTAAGACAATGAAACAACGTGGAAAGAATGTTGAGGAGCAAAGGGTGAGATTCAATAAGTCTGTAAATGGCTAGAAATCCTTTCATGTATAAAAACTCCCCAAAACCCATCTGCAGAGGCTCTAGTCAGACTGAGCCACCGGCAGATCCGTTGTAGCCACAGCAAGCGTCTCGAACAGCCTCACTAACAGGCAGAGACCAGTGTCATCTGGATCGTGCTGGATTGAAC